CATGACACCATCTTCACAAGCCGTGGACACCAAATACAGAAGCTCGTAGCATCCTTCGAGAATGTTTGTATTTGGACTGAAATTCCAAAAGCAATTTCCTATCATTAAGAAGTCATACTGTGCAAAAGCACAGAAGCAAAAACTTGAGAAAACTTCATGGAAAATCACAAGACTAAAGCATCAGGTGATCTAACATACCCTTTAGACATGACTTCGAGGATAAAAGGAATTCTGGATATCATCTCCACCGAAGAAGCTATCTCCGGAACACGGCAGAATGTAGCAAGAACAGTAACAGATAGTTGCAGATACACTTCACGATTTTCACCTCCATCGCCACTACCTGTTAAAGAAAAAACTCAAAACCAATCAAAAACCCCAACTCTGGAACCTTAGTATCGAACTACAAATTACTCATTCTAGAACACACAAAATTCGTTATGTTGAGATTCATTCTCAATCAAATTTTGCTATCTACTGAGGGAAACTGGAGAAAGACGAATAAGTCCGGGAGTTTTGTTTACCGGTCCGGAGAAGACGGTCGAGAAAGTGAGTACCAACGGCTTCGTACACCTTTTTGAGTGAAACGACGTCATCGTTCCGGCAGAACTTGGTGACGAGAAGTAGACCGGCGAGCCTCTGCTCGTCTCTTTCCCCTTTTAATAGCTTAAGGCAATCGTCAAGCGACGGAGATCGTTCCTCCTGTAGTTCCGCCATAATCACCGAACTGGAACAAACTCACAAAATCAGAAGACTGGTTTTCAGTAGCTCAAGTCGACTACGAAAGCGAACAGGAGAGAACCAACAATGGCGCCGGAATTTCTCGAAAAGGAGAAGAAGGCGCTCGACGAGACAGTCGAATACTTCCCCCAAAATCTAATTTTTTTAATTTGAACCTTCGATTTCTGTAAATAACATATATACCCTTAACAAAACGGTGTTGTTTGTTACTAATAGTCGGCTAATACTATCAGAACCAACGTTCAATTTTCACGTTTGTGCCGTAAACACTGTCATGATTAAGTATGCAAATAAACGTAAAGAATGAGATTTACCATAGAAATGTGAAAATTGTTCTGATAGTGTAAGTAACAAGAAAGCTTAACAGTTTTTGATATCCAAAACTACAGCTTAATGCGTAATACTAACGAACCATATTCCCACTTTACAAAAAAAGCCCAACCTGACTAAGCGTTCGTTACAAGACGCAAACCAACAACAGATAACTTCAAAAAACTACTTTAATTACACATAAATAAACACCAGAGAATACAGATTATAAGCCGATACAAATAGAAATCCAGACTCCACAATCCGGTTTTATAGGAAAACCAGTGATCACCTATACAAATCACAATCTGTACGAGCATATAACCGGAGGAGAAACTGCGTCTTTCGTATACGGTTTCCTTGAATTCACGTGGGGAAAGCATCATCCTTTGATTAAACGGAATGTCACCTACGACTTCCCGGTCCTGAGTTTGGTTAAGAGAGATTATTTTAACCGGTTTTTGAAGATATTGCGCAAGGGAAATAAAAATCTTGTTTTACCGTTTACGTTTGTTCTTGGAGAGAGTGGATGATGTGGAAGAATTGCTGTTCCAGTTTCTTTTCCTCTGGTTTATGAACCAGTTGTTGATCTGTTTCAGCTGCAAACCGGTTTCTTGAACCAGTTTTGCCTTATCTTCTTCCTGCAATTTCGAAAACCCAGTCAAGAATTACAAACCTGTGAGTCGAATGTCGTAAGAAACTATTTGGATGAGTTTTGTACAGTTGGGTATGGCCATTTGGAGTGAGTTCGCCACCACTCTTTGAGTACAGAAGTTGTATCTCCTGGCAA